TTCATGTTCATGACTATGATGAAATTTTGAAAAATATTTCAAACTTCCTGGTCATATTACGTATCATTTTTTGAAAAACAATTCAAAAAATGTTCAAAATCAATTATTTTTTGAATTTTTTTGCCTCTAGATCTTGAAAGCCCCGTAACTTTTTTCTGTTAGGTTTTTGGGGATTTTGAAAACATTTAATGGGGTTCCCCCGATTAAATTCGGATGTAACTTTTCGAGTAGATGATTTTTCATATAAAAAACTTTTTAATCCGAGTTCGTATGCAAAAGTTATGCCCATTTTACAAATTTCCAGAGAGATTTTGCAAATAAAGTCGAAATTCATATTTGTAAATTTTCCCAACAACTACACCACATATCACATGGGAAACTTATTTCCTTTTACTTTTTTGACATTTCCATCATTTTATTTTATTTTTTTTAAAACTAAAAAGGCGGTCCACAGGGGGGGTGCATTCGGTGTTGGGCCAAGTTAGTAATGGTGCACCGTGGGGTGGTGCGCCATTACTAGTTAAACTAGTAATGGTGTACCACACCCATGGTGCGACATTACTAGTTTTCAAAAAAAATGATTTTTTTTGATTTAAAAAAAAACGTAGTAATGGCGCACCAAGGGATAGTGCGCCGTTACTAACAATTTTTTTATTTTTTTATTTTTTTTTCAAAACTACTAATGGCGCACCGTGGGTGTGATGCGCCATTACTATGTCAACTAGTAATGGTGCACTGTCCCACGGTGCGCCATTAGTAACAATTTTTTTTTAATTTTTTTTCCAATACTTCTAATGGCGCACCACACACCAGGTGCCACTACTAGGAAAAGGCCTATTAATGGCGCACCGGTTTTGCCTACTAATGGCGCACTACCGGTGCGTCATTACTATCACGCCACTAGTATTTTTTACTAATGGCGCACCACTGGTATCTGGTATATACTAATGGCGCACCACATAGAAGTGCGCCATTAGTAACAATTTTTTCAAATTTTTTTCAGTTTTTTTTCAGAATTTTTTTAATTTTTTTTTGTTTTTTTCTTAATCTCAGGTCACTATGGCTTAATATCGGGTCAATATGCTTAAACTCAGGTCAACTCGCACTCCGTAGTCAAACTTCCCGAAAGGTCACCCATCCTCACACTACTCCAGCCCAAGCACGCTTAACTTCAGAGTTCTATCCAACCCCAGCAACAGCTCACTTCACACGCACTTGTTGATATATCTAGCATATCAATCCTATTATACCTTGTTGATGTCTAGGACTTTGTTCATGTTCATGACTATGATGAAATTTTGAAAAATATTTCAAACTTCCCGGTCATATTACGTATCATTTTTTTTGAATTTTTTTGCCTCTAGATCTTGAAAGCCCCGTAACTTTTTTTCTGTTAGGTTTTTGGGGATTTTGAAAATGTTTAACGGAGTTCCCCTGATTAAATTTGGATGTAACTTTTCGAGTAGATGATTTTTCATATAGAAAACTTTTTAATCCGAGTTCGTATGCAAAAGTTATGCCCATTTTATAAATTCCTAGAGAGATTTTGCAAATAAAGTCGAAATTCATATTTGTAATTTTCTCAACAACTACACCACATATCACATGGGAAACATATTTTATTTTATTTTATTGACATTTCCATCATTTTATTTTATTTTTCTAAAACTGAAAAGGCGGTCCACGCG